GGGGGGGGTTTAGAAACGCACACTGTCAGCGAAGACTCGCTAACTGTTAGTCCCCATTTCATGCAATGCTGAAATCAAAGAAACCACTCTTCTACAGCTCCACACCATATTCTTGCATCAATCCCTTTCAAGATTACAAACTGCAGGTCTTTCCAACAATCATCCATCTATAGAATATGATTTTTCAGGCTCTGAAAATATTCCATCCTCCACATTCAATCCCTGATTTTTGAGCCCTCATATTTATTAAGCATCATTCTCTATCACATTTTCTTCCTTTAGGTGTCAGTTCCCAAGTCCAACAAAGCACTGTCACCCCATATATTATCTTCACCGTCTTGATGTTCACTGTATGAAATGTACTAATTTACTAGTAAAAGTTAATCATCGCCTACCTATTTCCAAAAAGATTGTGAATCACCAAATAATAATTGTATGTGTGGCTCTTACTTTGGACTAGATTATATATCTCTTGATTATCTCAAAATTGTACACCGCCTTGTATCTAATTTGTTGTTTGCTAGGTCCTAAAAGATGGTTTGCTGAATGGGGCAGCTGTTCTCGGTGTTCCTGTTAAAGCTACAATCAAAGAGGTATGTGGAAAGAACCTATATATGTGCATCTCTTAAAAGTATCGCTTGTTTTCAATTTTTCTTCCGCAATATTTCCATCTTAGTCTGCAATGTGGACCAGATGTACTTTGAGAAAGCCATTAAAAGGAATAATTAGTGATAACTTTGTGACAGAAAAGGCCCAGCTTGGCAACACTTTTTCTTTTTTCTAATAACTAGTTTGGGTAGTTAGCAACAAAGAACAAGGCAATTAGCTTGGGTGTTCTATATTTCCTTCTTGTAATTGTTTTGCGCATCTTGTTCTAAATCCTATCTTTCTGTTGTGTTTAGAATAGCTGTGAATGAGGTTATGTCCTGCTTTTGTAGGAGTGAGTTTCCCTTCATTTTATGAGATGATTTTAGCTTAATATGAAAGAGTTTCTGTTTCTTTAAACTTTCCAAATGTTAGCTATGCAACTTCAGGTGGAGACCAGCATTTGGTTTGAGAGCACTGTTCAATTTCTAAACCCTTATATGATTATTTGCAAGAATATATGTAAGTTATTTGGACATGTTCCTATAAGAATGAAATTCACTGAGTTCCATGATTAACTTGCTGCATGTACTGCACGTGTTTTTCTGGGAGAGCACTTCAAAATTGAAATGGGGTGTAACCAAGTATCTAAATATACAAAATTCTTCCCATTTTATGTTAGTTAACAAAAAGAACAGAAAGAAAATGCGGCAAAATTGGAAGTTCCTCCACTGACAACCAGATAATCAAGAACTATAGGTATTTTAAGCACATGCATACACACAAAAAGATGCAAATTGTGTGTTGTGTGTGTGTGCAAGAGAGAGAGATACATAGAGAGAGAGAGAGAGACCTTCATGTGTGTGGTAACCTAATACTTGATGTTGCACTTCTTCTTATTTATATGCTACATTTTGCAGGCAAATAGTGAATTATTTGTAGTCAAAACACTAGACCGGAAAACACTCTGGGAAATGCAGACCCCACAGGTTGTTCATTCTTCTATTTTTTTAATGGATGATTGAGATTGCTTTTGAGCTAATTTGTATTCCACATTTTCATGAGCTTCTTGAAGCTTGAGGTTTTCCAAATATTTCATCAGTTGAATGCTTTGATAAATGCTTACATAGGTTATCAAGCCGGAGTTGCTTAGGAAAGGATTTGAGCTTGTCCATAGGTATTGACCATCCTCTGAAACTATCATATGCATAACTACTCTGTACAATTATCGTATGCATAAATTCACTAAGAACTTCTGTACAATTCTCTCTCTCTCTCTCTCTCTCTCTCTCTCTCACATTTCTAACTCTTTATATGTAGTAAATAGATTTTATTTTGACCTTTTTTTTCAAGCGTATTCAACTCGTTAGGCAAGCTAACTGATAGTTATTGTGCTGCTACAGTAAAGGACTTGAAGTGACAGATGATGTCTCCATTGTGGAGTATCTTAACCATCCTGTTTACATCACTGTGGGTTCCTACACTAACATCAAGGTAGCTAGCTGTCTACTATGTTTTTTATGAAGTAAAATGCATGTTTATGGCATCATTTTAGGGTGAAAGAAAAAAAACCCTGAACACTTTCAGAAAAGAATGCCGATAATCAGAGTAACTTACATTCTCAAAAAAAAAAAATCAGAGTAACTTGGTCTAAAACTGCTCCTCTGTTTTAGGTGACAACTCCTGACGATTTGCTTCTTGCGGAGAGGATATTGAACCTCAATGAAGGGACCTCCCCATAGTAACTTGTGCTACTCTCTCTCTCTCTCTCTCTCTCTCTCTCTCTCTCTCAAGCTGTATTGCTTTGCGAAGTGAGGATGTACTATGCCAGATTTCCTTTACCAAGTTCCCAACTGGCAACTATATTTCTGTGCTGTATTTCGTTGGTGACACACTGACACTAATGAAAATAAAAAAAACAACTGTATCGTAATTCATCCACTTTTGTTTTATTAATACATATTTTATTGGTTTATTTGTTTGCATCGTTCCACTCAAGTAAACTGATAAGCAAACCAGAGAGTTCACAATTTAAAATATAAAGGATTTAATCTAGGAACTACATCAAGCCACTACCCCAACACTGTGCTTATGGGTTCCACTGTTAAAGGCTTAAAGTTGTATATGGCTACTGTAAAACGTTAGAGGATAAGTACTTATAACTTACTCCCACACTAACACATCATGCACTTACTTAGTAGGGCAGAAGCCCTAGTTAGGAGGATTATTTCGATCTGAAATTTCAGGATCAACTTTAAAATCATCAAATGAGTATTAAAAGAATATTTCAATATGAAATTTAAAAGACTTTGGTTATTAATATGATATTATTTTTCATGTGCATATAAAGTGCATAATATTTTTTAGGATTGTCTACAAAAATAACATTTATCTTTTATACATAGAGATCACAATCATTGTCATTCCCACTCGTTGAATGTCAAATTGGCTAGTTTGAAGTGTCATAAAATCCAAAAAAAAAAAAAAAAAAAAAATTAAGAATTGTGTTTAATCAATGATACTCTTACAACCACCCATTTTGAAATTTAAGGGAAAAAAATAATTATGACTTCCATATACAGAGGTTAAATAGTCTCTTTGCAAGCAATCTTATATTTTATTCACGTTGATCCTAGGCTGCTGAAAAAACATGGGTACTCCCAGATAAGGTTTTACCCAAGTGAATGCACTATATGCTCCCATGAAGCATCTAATCTTTTTGGCTAAAATAGAGCTACCGTTACTCCTTATAAATTGTAGACTCAACTGAATCCATCAGGGTTCAATCCCATTAAGTGGACCTCTGATTTTTTTTTCTCCTACTGGATAGTCATTGCTTCTAACCAAATGAACTCCAGACCAGCCAAGAATCAATAATAGAATAAACTGAATACGTCAGGAAAAACTGGAATGATCTCAATATTAAAGCTCAATAGCAATAAATCATTAATAGATGCGATAAACTGTGCTTCATTTCTTTTTTTATTTTTTTGATTCATAGCTTGAATCAATGAAATAATATGATGATTCTTTTTTCAGTTTCTTTGTTTTCTCATAAATGGCCCCTTTGGTAATATACAAGTATACTGGGGAATCCTAGAGCCAAAGAAAAAATATCATAATTCTCGTCGGATTTTCATCTTATTGTGTTATCCACCTTTTCAGATTTCCCACATGCTCCAACCTGTAAAAGGAGCCCGAGTTTACGAGGCCCTGCTTTGGTTGGTTGTTTTGGCTGCAAACATAAAAACAGTAGAAAAATGGTCATCCTTTGTTCACACCATGACATGGAAATGGACTAGTATTGTCAAATTCGCTTCACTTCAGCTAAAGAGGCAAAGCCTTTGGATTTTAGGCCTAGACAAAAACGAAGCAAAGCCTGGTGCTGCAGCTTCGGTCCGCTTTAGTCTGCTTCAAGCCGATTCGGCTAAAGCAAAGAAATATCTATATAAAAAATACTTTTTTAAAAAAAAAGTGTTTTTAAAATCTCATTATTTTTATATATAATTTGTATATATAAATATCTAATTTATTTATATTAAATTAAAAAAAAATGTCCAAAGTTTTCCCCAGAATGGGCCGAAGTACCAAATTGCTTCGTTTTTCTCACCAAACCAAAAAAGACTCTGAAGCGAATCTGATAACATTGAAATGGACTACTGCAAGCTTTAAAAACAACAAAAATAACCTTCTCTCTCCGAGGTTTGCTGGTTTTCCAACAGAGATAGCCAGTGCAACAATGCCCTGATTCATATCCCCTACAAGTAACACGATAACAATGAACAAAAATTAGAAAAATAAAATCAATAAAAGGAAAAAATAAAGTTTAGAACATAATGTGAGATATGAGGCCCAACTGATCATCAATCAAAAACTATAAACTCTATCTATCTCTCTCTCTCTCTCTCTCTCTCTCTCTCTCTCCCCACAATTTTCTGGGTCCCTACAGTGAAGGGGTGGCAATAGGTAACGCAAACCATTTTACTCAAGTAATAAAAAAAATTGACAGGTGAAAAAAACTAACTTCAAGACTACAATGGACAGTTTGTAGCCACCTGTATTTCAAGACCCATTTACTAAAGTCTACATGTAGAAGAAACTTTCACGTCACAATATCACAAGTATCCAATAATGTAGTTGTCATATTATCTTGCACTTTACCAAAACTTGCAAAAGTTCCCATAGAAGCTAAGATGGACTTACCTAGATACCTATTTTCACATCTCAGAGACCGAGTGAACTCACCTGCACACGTGTGTAGAGAGAGATGATCTCAGGAGAACTCACCTGCACATGTGTGTGGAGAGAGAGAGAGAGAGAGAGAGAAAAGGTGTTAGTACACACCGATTTTCATCATCATTATGTGCCTTGAAGCTTCTACTATGCAATAAGCTCGGAGAGACGACAGGAGCATCACTTCTCCTTTTGATCTGATCCGTTTGTGAAATTCCATTTCCATTGGCCTTTGAAACAGGGATTTTGTAACTCGATTCCTCTTCCCCATGCCTAGAGGCAGTATTTAATGCCATCACTGATAGTGTTCGGTCTTGGCAATAAATACCATCTTGTGGGATTATTTGATTTCTCTCAGCTCTTAACCGATTGATTGATCCCGGTGTGCTTTTATCTGCAGCTTGAAGCCATGCACTCTCTAACCTTTGTTCATCAACTAGCTGATGACATGTTCAAATGTGTGAGAGCAAAAATAAAATTGTAAAAATAATTCTAACAACTAATCCTAAGAGAATTAGAAGCAGGAGACAGGGAGAGAACAAGAAAATGAACAACCCAACTAGATGCATTTTACTACCTGAGGAAGAACACTATTAAACAGAAATAAAGCATTGGTACACATACATGCTACTGTTCTTACCATTCTGTTTTCCTGATCCCTGTCAATCCCAAAATTGAGTTTCCCACTTTCTTCTAGTGAGAAGATTGACAGGCTTTCGGTTTGGAAGCTCTCATCACGTACTGCCGAGATATTATGTGGTGTTATTTGCCAAAGGCCCTCAGAGGGAATTGAATTATTGCAAGTTGATTCTAGAGGTTTCCTTTGTAGACCCTGATCAGAAGAATGATAGTGACTATTGCTGAAATCAATTTTCTTTTCACTACCTATAACATTGACAGCTTCAGTATGCTTCCCTGGTGCGGCACTCGGCGAGCCAGTTTGAAATGTGGCATTGTCGTACTTTTTGTTATTCGAAATAATACCTATCCTGATCTCTACATTGCACTGCAGAATGACTTCCATTGAGTTTGTGATACTACTCAAGAACCTCTCGGCTCGGGTTTTATGGTCATGATGCTCAAATGCTATAAAAGCAATAAGAAATCCTGCATTCAGCCAAATATCACTTGGATGAGTTGGGACAAACAACTGATGGAAGCACATCCCTGTCAAACATTAGATGGAGGATAGTAAATTTTCTTCATTGAAAGTCTTAACATGTTATATTTTAAATTTAGTTCTTGGCCAGTTTCTCTGGAGCTATTGGGCAAATTTTCAGTAAGAATAAAATTTGGAGAGGTAAAGAATGAAAAACAAATACAGAACAAAAAGGTGAAAGCTGAACAGCCAAAATCCATCCACTGAATTTTTGCGACGGAATGTTTTCTTTCTTCAATTTTGTAATTCTTCCTGGTATTTTTGCTAAAAAGCAAAGACACTGTAGACAGCCAGAAAATTTCAGGCAATGATCTGGAAGTCCATGGTAACCTAGAATGGTACAAGGGAAAGAATCTTTCAAATTTAATGTAACTAAAACCTAGAGTCACACCAAAAGAAAAAGAAAGTAATCTTTCAAATTTAATCAATACAACCTGTCTTTGTCATTCTTCTTATTTTACTCTCCAATTTCTCATGAAGTCCAGATCAGACAAGTTAGATCCAACTTGAATTGTTAAGGCCCATTCCATTTTTTATTTGTTCAGCCCAACAAATAGAAATACCATTTGTCAAACTGGATATGCCACACATACATTATTTAACAAGAATTTACATGACCAATTATTTCACTTATGCAAACTTGGAAGAAACACTTAAATCTAAGTACTTCAAATCATCACACTGCTAGCAAGTGCACGAGTAATCTTAAAATTAAACTGTAAATTACCCACAACATTGTATGGTATACCATTTATAACTTCACCTCATTCTACATAAATAACACATCAATCGCAAGCAAACGCACCTAAAAGAAACCCATTATACCATGCATTTCTAGCAAGCGGTCAACCAACAAGAAACGATATGCTGATTAGAATTATAACATACCATCTGCTTCAGTAATAGATACCAGCTTTCCATACGTATAGAGCAACTGACTTAATGTCTTTGAATGGCACTTTTCTATACTTCTTCTCCAAATCTCATCTAACTTGTTTGGAGTTATGGATTTGAACTCATTTTCACCTGTAAGAGAATCTCCTTTAGGAACAGCAGCTACACTCTCCACAGAACTGCTACGAGCAGAAGGGAAGTTAGGGCAAACATTATCCATCTTGGAGGAACCAGGATCATTTTGCGATTGGCTGATCTTATTGTGTGCTCGAGTTACAAGCTTCTGGTTTCCGAGTGAATCACTGGACTTATTATGGTAGTCTGCTAAATATGGGGCATCTAGCGTGTTTTCTTGCATTCTCCTAGGGCACATTTCATTGTTGTTTTTGGCACTGCTGGGAACTAAATCATTACCAGAGCCAAATTGTAGTAAGGCAGCTGTAAACCATGTTGATCGATCATTAGAATGCCTAAGGTGTTTTTCAGCTTCAGAAAGGATCTTCAAAGCTTGCCTTAGTTTGTCCATCTCTGCTTCAGTTACTGTAAATGGTGCAGTTTCAAGAAATAATAACAAATCAGTAGGAATGCATAGGTCAAAAAAATTTCTAGCACGAGTTGCTAATAATGTAGAATAATAGCACAGAAATTTATTTTATTAAGAACTAGGGAATATTCTCCACAAAATAGCTACTTCTATTCTCTACAATCCTATTCACCTTCCACTACAAGAGTTCCATTAAATTCTTAGAGAATAGTTTTAGACACATAGCTCAGTGGAAAACACTCTTGCTTCCACTTAACAGCCAGTAACACCCACCTGTGAGTGCCTTTAAAACTGAACCATCCATACTCTATATGAGAACCTTCACACTTGGGGAACTTAAATCACCCACAAAGATACCATCAAAACTAAGATTTGGCATCCTCAACAGTAGTTTGTACCACAGTATATAATTTTAAATTCTTAGTACTAAATGGTGTCTTCTCGCATGCTCAGATGGTAATTAGAAAAATATGCACATGCACACTAGTTTAAAAAAGATGTATTTTGGAAGGAAACTGAAGGATGACACCAAGTGAAGTTGAGCATTTTGCTTCTTTTTTTGTGATAATTCAATACAAAACACCAGGTTAGAAAAAACTATTTGGACCTAACAATTGTCAAGTCTTTACCTTACATGAATGCTTAAGTGTGCATACCCAACAATGAAACTGTGCAGTCATTTAGAAAAAGGCTATGATTATACTGCTTTAAATGAATCCTTCAAGAACAACATAATAAAGAAAAAGCATAACAAACAACTTCTTTACAAGAAAAACTGTGGCCATTTAAGGCAAATGTTGCCGCATACCAATCAGTCCAAGGAACTCAAATAAGCAAGATATACTCACAGGTTTGCTGACCAAAAAGACAATCGTTTCGGGGTGACTCTGTCAATTGGTAACTTCCAGCAATAATATCCATGATGACACCTGCAAGCTGAGACATTAAAGCCATTGGATCCACACCAGAATCCAGCAATTCCCTCGCTTTTTTCACTGTTTCAGCATTATCTGATGACATTGCTAACTCAAGAAGATCCAATAACTTCTCCTCAGGAACAACACCAACCTTGTAAAAAAGTTTCAGAATCAAGAATTCAGTATGGATCTTTAAGTTCTAAAATTTCATGTTCTACAATCTTCTCCTGTGGTTTACAATGCACCATTGAACGAATGTATTTGCGATTATATGCACATCCAGAAAGCATGCTATTAACTACTCCAATACCACTAATTTAATAACACACATAAATAGGAGTGTAGGAACAACATCCTAATAACATACATAAAGAGGAAATACAATCATAGGAAGAATATCAATCCCATTAGATGTAAATGAAATGAAAAGCACGTAAGTTTGATATAAATCAACTTTAAGGAAACTATCGGTTGAGTACTTAAATGCTTGCCAATTAACAACTTTAAGTGGCTAAAGACATACACATTCCATAATTTATAAAGCCATGAGTGTACCAAATTGGGGTTTAGGCTACGATAACCAAGATTTGGTGAACATGATGTATGTAGGTTCTGATATTGAGAGAGGTAACAGAACATAATATACAAAATAGCTGTAAATAAAATGATACAGTAGAAATTCTTACTGCATGACCAGTACAGTTTCAATGACTCACTGAGAAAGAGTATCAGCAACACTAGTGAAGTTTTATACATATATTGAGATGTCTATAGATCACAGACTGCTACATAGCCGTCATTTTTTTGTTCAAAAACATCGCTTACAATGATTATTTATATTTTGCCAGTCTACAATTGAATGAGCTGTATGACGGTATCGTCATAGTTATTTGCCCATAGGCACAAACAAGTGATGTTAAAGGAAATTATAGAATTTAAATTTAGAACAATAATAAAATTAGATCCTATACCCAGAATTTACAAATAATGGAAGTTAGAAGTCACAAATCTATGCCAATGAACTAATATCCCAGTAGAATCAGTATCATTATCATTCATCATTATCCAAGCCTTATTCCAGTTATTTTGGATCGGCTACACAAATCTTATTCCGCCATTCCACTTTATCAAGGGACTTACCGTCAGTCAGACTATAATTCATGATATCTCTTCTCACTACTTCCATCCATGTCCTTTTGGGTCTTCCCCTTGGTCTTTTAGAGCCTTTCACTCGAACCAAATCACCCCTCCTAAGCCGTGTTGTTCTAGGTCGACGCTGCACATGACTAGCCCATCTAAGTCTACTTTCTCTCATCTTATCACCTATTAGAGAAACCCCCAAGTTCCCTCAAATGCATTCATTCGAATTTTACCCTTTCTTACCTTGCCACTCATGGACAAGAAAACAAGGCTCTGATACCAATATAGATGTGCATATAAAAAAGCAGTAACAGGGAACAGCAAACAACAACCAGATAAAAAAGCACACCGCACAACAAAGTTTATAAACTTATAAGGATCACACTTATAAACAAGATACAAGAGTAGATGGAAAGAGCTTACAGGCATAAAAAGAAGCAGCAGCAAAGGAAGAAGTGAGACTTGAAAGAAGCACACCAAAGAAATAAACTAGGCTGAGAGGCTCTAGAAGCGCTCTGCCGTTTACAATGACTTAAGGGGCTATTTATAGACCCCGGACGTGAAAGACGGACTTCAAACCAAATTAAAAAGAAGACAGCTGGCCTGAACAGGTGGCCTTTGTACAGTAAAAAGGTAATAAACAGTGACAGGTGGCCGACAATAGTGACAGGTGGCTTGACATGAACAGTAAAAAGTTGATGTACAGTGCTGTCGACAAAACAATGCTGAACAGTGCTGCTGACAAAATAGTACTACCGACAAAATAGTGCTGAACAGTGATGTCGACAAAACAGTGTTGAACAGTGCTACCGACAAAATAGTGCTTCTGCTACAGTGACTCTGCTACAGTGTTTCTGCTCAATCTGTGTCATAATTGAAAGGATAGCCATCAGAATCATAGCTTGGTGAAGAAGGAATAGACGGGCTATGAGAAGGTCCAATGTATGTATCATCACTGGAACTGTCTGTGGGTGGTTCTGCAGGAGGGGGATGATCAGCAAGCCAAAGGTATAGTTGGTGCAATAAAGCAACTCCTTTGGGAGTTTCATCATTCCAAACTGTGTTTCCTGTATAGACATCCAAAGGAATCCATTCTGGCTAGATTCTGTTAATGTAGCACATGAGAATTTTCAATTCTTTCCATAAATCTGTCTGAAATAGCCAAAAATTTAAGAGATTGGAATCATACCATCTGATGGTTTGGATGAGAGGATGTTAGGTGATATAAGTATGTTCTGGATAAATCTGAGGATTAAGGTCTTGATGGAAAGCTATAATGATATAAGGTCGATGAGGATAACCAAAGGATTCAATCCATTGATTATAATGGTAATGTTTTAAAAGAAATTTATAGAAGTTGAATGCTCTGGGATTGGGGTGATTGTAATTGTTCCATTATAAGAAATGACAATGTCTGAGATAGGAAAGTAATTTCCTTACATGGAAATTAAAGCATATATGGTAGTTTTGGGTAAGATACTAGATAAAACAAATGGCTTCTTTTGGCATATTATAATAATGTCTAGTCTGAAATAGGGATAAAAATGGATATGATGGATGGCATCGAATTCCTTCGAAACATTCTCCATGATTTCTGATTACTATTTCATGCATCTTTTGTTGCATATTCTCATTTCTGGAGTCCATTGATTTTCTGAGAATGATGTCATATATTTCATCAGGAACATCTTGTGGATCATCATCAATTTTGATAATGGCTCCCAAAAAAGGAACAACTGGAAAAAGAGGTTCTTCAGAAAATTTTCTTCTTGAAAACATGTCTGCCAAAATGTTGTTTTTCCCAGAAATATGCTTATACTCAAAATTCCATTGAGAAAACCAGTTTGACCACCTGAGTAGTTGAGAATTCGAAAGAATTTTGTTTTTGAATTTTAGCATATTTGGAAATGCAGACATCCATTTCAACAAGGAAAGTATGTCCTATTAGATGAAATTGGAATTTTTCAATCCCTCTTTTTACTGTTAAGATTTCTTTGAATGTTGAATGGTAATGAAGTTCAGAATCTTTAAACTTTCCACTTTTATAGCCACAGATCATTCTGTCTTTTTCTTTTTCTTCAAGTAAGATACACGCCGAAAATTCATCAGAAGCATCTGTTTGCAAAATTCTTTTTCCTGTAGAGGGGATTTTTAAAGAAGGTAGATTTTGAGAAAATCTTTTGAGCTCTTGAACACACTCAGTCTGTTTTCTTGTCCATGGTGGTGCTTTCTTTTTTAACAAAAGATAAAGAGGACTAGTAAACAGGGAAAGTTTAGGAATAAAAGGGGACATATAATTTACAATTCCTAAATATTGCCGGATTTGTTTTACAGAAGATAAAGTATCGGGAAATTCTAATAGGTGTTTGGCTATATGGGGTTGGAGTTTGTACATTCCATTGTGAAAATGCATACCGAGGAAATCTACTTCTGTAGTAGCAAAGACACATTTTTTTTTTCAGAGATCATAATACCATATTTACAACAAAGAGAGTAGAATTTATCTAATAAGAGAATATGACTTTCTAGATCAGGAGAAAAGAGGAGTATGTCATCTATATATATGTCAGTGCCTGCGTTGAGATTGGTTCAAAAATGGTGGTTAAAACT